CCCCACCATGTGTGCACCCTTTCGCGGCTGTTATTTTGCACCGCCTTTTGTCTGGCAGGAGAAAATGGTCCTCCGAAGCTGGTGTAGCATCGTGGTGCGTATCGTGGACTTTCTGAAGACGCGCGGATCGCCCGGCTGCTATGAACGGAACAAGAAGCTATCAAATTTTGCTAAAATGGGGGCATTGCCTGGCATTACCACTAGGAACTAAGAAGCTACATCCCCCCGTGATGGATTCTCTATGAAATGAATATTCTGCCAGGGCCTTACCACCAGACCAAGGGGGATGAAGCTACGAACGTCGAGCCGGAGAGTCCGACGGCCGCATGGCCGCCCCCGTTTGACCGGACGGTTCCGTCGAAAGAAAGGTGGTAGATGGGAAAAGAAACAGATGGCCACCGGACCTGTGTGTGTTTGATGTTTTCCCACAACCGTCATTCATGCTATTTGGATCTAATTGGTCTCATTTCAGAGACTAATCGCTATGATGTCCCTTCAATCGAAGTCCCACAAGGGGTATCCGTCAGACGTATGTCTTGTCGTGTGTGTGTGTGTGTGTCTCATTCACGGCGATCAGCTGGCCTCATTGAGTTTTTGAGGCCTCAGGGCGCGGAAAGCATCGCAACGATCAAGCTTCCAGAGGAAGAGGCCCGTTTGAGAGATAGGCGCTCGTTTGGGTTTGACGTGTTCGGGGACGTGTTCGGGCATGCACTCCCTGAAATCATTGGTCTATCACGATTACGTGGATGGCGCCCCGAAAGGGTGACCATGAAAATGGGTGAATGTCCAAGACTTTCAGGCTTTCAGCATGATTTCTGGGTGACCAAAGCCTTGAATCGCTCTTCCACTCACCATGGATACGTGCACCACCCGTTACAATTTTGGACCGACACCCTGATGGGAAGGATACGTGCACTTGTGCACCATAACTTTGCATGGCTGTGCGACGTGCCAAGGATTGGCCATGACATGACCTGTTCCCAAAACATTGTAAAGCCATGCGAGGCCTTTCAAAGAGAGAGCTGACATCCAACCACATGTTTTATGTCGCACTTGGGACATACCATACCATACATACAGTATGTCCGGCCGACCGTCCGACCATACAGTATGCAGGTCCTAGAGAATGAAGAGCCTCGGCAGCGGCCGCGCTACTGGGTGCGGGAGCTGAGCATCGGAGAGAGCGGAGGAAATCGGTCATCAACGAACAGTTGAAGGGTGTGTAGACTGTAGACCGGGTCTTCATAGCTATGCCTTTTTCATCCTTTTTCATTTTGAATGCCTTTTCAACAGTCAAGACTGCTTTTTTCAAGCAAACGCAAACTAGTTTGCCTTGAAGATCTTGAAGCACTTTCCGAACGGCGACTTTTGCCGACCGCGCTAATTTGGCAACCTCTCAAAACATCGAAAGGCCACTTTTGAAAGCGTTTTGGACGGCAAACGACTGACATTTATGTTGTTTCGCCAAGAGAGGAACAAATACACCAGTGGAAGGTTCCAGGTATGTCAACGAGGTTCCAACATTGTCGGAATCCACAGATTTATACAGATGTTGGATTCATTTTGAGACTTTCCTGTGCGGACGACCACCGAGAGACATGGACGACCCCAGGACGACGCTTCGATCTCGCCTTCGATCGATGCCATGACAGCCATGACGGAATTCGACATCGTGTAGGCTCACCCAAAACGTGACCAATGGTGGCGCCGTATGGCGGCCTTTATTCACCGCTCAAAAGCAAAAAGGTAGGACAGTCCCCTGGAAGGTCTTTGAGACTTTCGACATGGCCGTGGAGGGCCCTCTACCGCCGGTGGCCGTTCGGTGTTACTTTCGGTAGGCCGCTGGGATTCCCCGCGGCGACCAGGAGAAGTTGCTGGAGCAACCAGACACCGTGGAGGCGGGTTTTCTCGGGTGGTGAAACCCACACGACCGACGCCAGCAGACACCATAAGCCGTGACAAAGCGGTGAAACATAATAGCATAACAATGCAGCTGCATGCTGCATAACATATAACGTTCTGTGGAACATGGTGGAGCCGTGGCAGCCTTACCAGCTAAGCTGGTTCACGTGGGTTGTTTTGCCTCAGGCGCACCCTTGAGATGCAAGAATAATGACTGGTCACATGCAAGAATCCCTACCAGGACACCGTAAGGGGTGTCTATTGATAGCCCCTTAGAGGTTAAGGATGGTTAAGGGGTGTCATTAACCACCCCGACAGTGGGTCCTAGTAGAGATCCTGATTGCAGCTTATTTGTGTCACGTTGCACCAGTTCCTTGGAGAGACCAACGGAGCGACTCCGGTGACTTTCGGCGCTTTGACTCGAATGTGCACGGCTGCAGGCGGAATGTGCACGGTTGAGTTGAGAAACGGCCTGAGGTCGGGCTGCAGGAAAAAGGACGAACCTGCTTAGATGATCTAGCTGTGAAACACGAGCAGTGAAGGACAATTTATTATGTACTGCATGATTGACAACAATTATATAATAATTCATTTTTAGCATCATTGATTTGGTCATGGTTGATATATGTTTGCTTTAGCATAATTCATTGGGTTAACATCGGGAACCATGAGGTATTTTGATGTTGATGTCTAGCATCAATGATATACAATGTATAGTGAACAATGTGGAGAAAAGAAGGTCAATATTAAGCTCTCGAGTGAACTTATGCCATGCAGTAGCTGCTGTAGCTCACAGCCAGAAAGGGGCTTCGAAGAGCACAGAGGTTAAACTCACACGTTTTGGTCAGTGTTCAAGCCGAGGACTGAAATTGCCCAATTTGACTCCAAAGAGCAGATGCAACGTTGATCACACCTAGGTAGGTTTGGCCTTTTGTTCAGCAGCGGTTTTGACCGACGAAGGCCCCCCAGAAGGGGCGCTGGACAGCAGGGTGGCAGCGCTGCCCTCTGCGTCGAATTTTCACAGGCCCCATGAGCTGATTCTACCTCTAAGGCCCCCAAGCCATAATTCCAACAAAATGCTCGTGGCAGCTTGTCGTAGCTTCTTGCGAAGTCGCGCGCCTGTTTGAGTGCCGCAACAAACATCGGCCAGTGTAGCTTGCGGCCACCGGAACTTCTGCGCAGGTACTTCATCAAGCGACCTTGGATTGTCCAGGATTGTCTCATCCGGCTGGGAAAGCTGCAGGTGTAGTGGCGTTTTCACGCCATCAACTCTTGAAGTAGGCGGCCCGTTCCTTTGTTCCACCGGGAATGGAGAGCCTCACCCGTTAGGATTAGAGAAAAAGGTGACTTCAGAGCAGACGCCATTCTGTGAAGCAGCCCCAAACAGATCGGCACAGAAGTATAGATGGCGATCGAGCCTCATCTCATTCAAACTTCAGGTGGCCGTTCGCACGTGGATCTATTTCCAACTTCTTTTGCCTCAGCTGGCTCCAGTGCCGCCCTGTCGCCCGCCCGGGGCACAGCAACTGCAGCTCGCTCCGTTGCCGGAGCGCCCACCACTTCCGCCATGAGCGGCGGACCGCATATGACGATGGCGGCTTGGATGACTTCATCGGACACGGGCGGACGGGTTCGGTGGCGTGGAAAATGACGTGCTTTTTGCCGGGTTTTTGCGAGGATTTAAAGAGCCTTCCCGGAGGTCAATTGAGGTCATTTCTCCACTTAGGTACTGTATCCACTCATTAAGGTTCGTTTCTGTGCGGTTTCTTCGGGAATCAATCCGTTCCCATATGGCTTCAGCTGCTCAGTTCCAAACAAAGAGCCGCCCACGCTTTTGGCTGAGGCAGCAAATATTTTGGCTTACCTACGTGGCATTTCCTTACGACAGCATAAGTCAGAAAGGTCTCACAAGATCCACAAGATCCCACAACTTGCTACCATCAGTGCCGCAAAAAAATGCAAACAATCTAATTGCATGTACTAGGACCTAGGACCCACAAGGGGTGTTTAATGGACACGCCTTAACCTCGAAGGGGCTATCAATAGATACCCCTTACTTGGTGTGCATATATAGAATTCAAGAGGTTGGCAGCATTTGCTGGTAATTCACCAGGCATTTATGGGTGCATAAGGGTATTTGTTTTGTGCGCACCGTTCTCTTTCTGGTCGTCCGAGGATTCCGGCGTGCGCCACTTCCATCCCGCCGACAATTACGATGGCATCAAAGAGAGACATGTGATGGTTGATGTGGATGGAGAGATGATCGAGGTCTGCGAAGCAGCTCGAACAGTCCATGCAGTTTCGGAACAACAAGTGTTCATGCAGAAACCGAATTCGCCCCTGTTGCGCGCGTGTTATTTTTCTTTTTCTGAGATGAGCATCCAAGGACATTCCCGGACCACTGAGACTTGGGGGGTTTGGTCTGATAATGTCAACCTATGATGTATCAACTTACCCTGAATAAAGTTAAGCAAATACCAAAACAAGTTATGGGTATACACCCTAAATAAAGCTAAATGTGTTTACCGCTGGACCTGTATAGATATCTCCAATTTGGCCTTTAACAAAGTTGTCTTGAACAAGATTGACAAATCGTGACAAAGTCTCCTATCCCGTGTTTGACAAAGTCTCCCAGCATTTGCCTGTCAATTCTTTATATAACTGGTCCTTTCTTTGGATTCCTTCTTACATCCTTCTCTGACCGTCCCACACCTGCCACGAAAATTAGACTTGTTAATTCGATCCGCCGCTGGATTCCTAGTTTCTAAATCAAGTTTCAACCCATGTAGTTCCCAAAAAGCAAGGCCAACATTACCAATACTAAAGCAGTATTTAAGTCTAGTTGAGCTCATGTCAGGAGGGGGGGCCTGACCCCGAGGGCCCCCCCCTTGATAAATCAGAGGTGGACATGTGCCGTTGTGCCACAACCCTGCCACAGTTCACCACCTCGGACGTCCACGTGTCCCCGCCACGTCACGTCCCGAACCAACCGTGACGACCGTCGTGGACCGTTCGGCTGTTCCACGCAGGTAGAGATTGACCCGAAGAACGGCCCAAAAGTTCTCAAGGTGGAGACATGGCTGAAGTCACTTTGGAGAGGAAGGTGGCTGTTTTGTGTCAGAATGTGCTGTTGTTTTGCATGTCCAGTGGTATACGGTGTACTGTGTTAGGTGCTTCTGAAGAAATGTGGTCCAGTGCAGAAAGATATCACGCCGTGCAAGTCTCTTGTGGAGCATTCTCTCTCTTGTGGTCAGCGTCCTTGGCTTTGACTTTAGATCCAGGTGTTTCGATGATTTCTGCTGCTCTGTGTGTTGGCATGTGTTGGCTCAAGCACCCATTTTGAAGCGACTGAAGCCGACTCCACCTTTTCGGAAGATCATGGCTGAAGTGGTTCAGAACGAACGCCCACAAGACGTTGAAAGCATCCGCAGTAACAAGACTGAAGAAACAGAGTCCATGAAGTCAGGCCCCAAAGGCTACATGAAAGATTCTCTTGCGTTTCTGAAGTTGACTTGGCCACTACTGCTTGGGAACACCCTCGAGTGGTATGAGTTTGGGGTCTACAGCTATGTGGAGAAGGAGATCGCAGACAACTTTTTTGATGGCTCCTCGCTTGGGGCTTGGTTGGGCTATGCTGTCACTTTTGTGGCAAGGCCACTTGGAGGCCTCATTTTGGGTATCATCGCAGACCATTGTGGCCGCAAGTTGTCCGTGAACCTCTCGCTCTTCGGCATGATTGTGGCTACGGTGGGTCAGGGCTGTCTTCCTGGAAAGTACTGGGGAGGCGAATTGAAGCTCTTGGGGTTCATCCTTTTGATGATCTTTCGTGCTCTACAGGGTCTCTCAGCCGGCGGAGAAATCGGAGCCGTCACTGCCTATTTGATGGAAGTGTCACCGGTGTCCACGATCGGCATGGCCATTTGCATGATCTCAGTGGCCAGCCAAATCGCATGGGCATTTGCAAGCGCCATGTTGGCTCTGCTGAATTCTCTCCTGGGTCCCGAACTCATGTTGGTTTGGGGTTGGCGGATTCCCTTTCTTTTCTCTGCCTTGCCTGGCTTCTTGGCCATGTGGGGCAGGAACAAGATCCAAGAAACGGAGGTCTTCTTGTCCGAGGTGAATGACTCAAGCCAAAAGCAAAGCATTTGTGGCAGTATTGTTGAGCTCTTGGTTCATTACCCTTTGTCCCTCTTCGTGGGCATTGGAGGAGTTTGCGCTGCTGCTACCATGTGGTTTGCCCCTCCTTTCTGGACCATCGGTGCTGTGTTACAGGACCTTGGGGCCTCTGACGCCTTGTGGGTTGGCAACTCCTGTCAACTGGTTGGTTTGGCGATCACTCCCCTCGCTGGCTGGTTGGCAGACCGTTATGGCGTAGCATCCACTGCTTTTGTGGGCGCAGCCTATTGCTCACTCATCGGCTTGCCGATCTACGCATGCTTAACCAGCTCCAGCACGCGTGCGACAGCTTACTTGGGTGTCTCGGAAAGACTCAGCGGTTTGTGACCGTGATCTCTGGGGGATAAGAATTAATTGTGTACTATACTATTTTACAGAACAATACAGAATACATTTGTTAGCAGTATTTATAGAGTTCAATTATGTTTAATTTATGTATGAGGTGTCCATCAAGTCACGGAATGTTAGGGATGCGAGATGACGTGATTTGCTTTTTCTTGTTCAACACCTTACTTTTGTTTCCTTCGAAATGAGGAGTGGGTCTCTTCTTCGGCTTGGCTCAGGGCTTTAATGGTGCTACGATCTACTTGTTCTGTGCTGAGCTCTTTCCCGCACGGCTGCGTTGCCAGGGGATGGCGCTCAGTTACAACATCGGAGTCAGTTTCCTGGGTGGATTTGCAGCGGCCATCTCACAGACGTTGTATCTGGGCGTGTTTGTTTGCGTCTTTTCCTTGGTATATCTGTTGAAGTGGGGCTGGTGGCTGGTTTGATCATTTTGATCATGTATGTAGGAAACACGGGTTCCTGGCTCCGGTGTGTTCGCCTTTTTGCGCAAAGGTATCAAACCTCCGTCCACATTGCTCCGGGGGTGTATTGGTCAGCCACTGGAGTGGTCACCATGGTCAGCATTCTCCTGGGCCTTTGGCTTCAACGGTGCAAGTGGATTCAGCTGACGCACCGACGGAAAGAACCCTATTATTTCCGTTGCTCTTCTAAGTAAGTAAAGTGTACAGCGCTTGAAGATCGACGCAGTGTTGGTCACACTGTTGACACAATATGTGGAGTTTTGTCCGAATCGCAGTTTGTCATGCAAGAGCTGTGACATTGCATGAATTCGTCGGGCCTTCCAATCCCTTGTACAGTTCTAAGTAAGGCAAGCACGACGGACCCATTTGGATAGCTTCCTACAGTTGGAAGGTCTATACAGTTACCGCGAGATGGTTTCTCCATGAGTACAAGGTGATGTGCCATGAAAAGTCCTTCATGGGTCTTGCTGCCGCGGTCATGGTGTCCGTTTTCGCTGTAGAATCAGGACAACAAAAAATGCGGTCGCAGAAGTCAAATGGAGTGCTGTAATTCGCTTTCGCTGTTTTGCTTTCGCACAACTTGTGGTCATCATTCATGCACCCCCAACGAACGACCCGATGGACCACCGGAACGACATCAGGTCGTACCGCCAGATCGAAAATAGGAGCATCGTACCCCACTGGGGGGAAAACACGAGAAAACGGCTCCGGAGCGCCAAGCCGGAATGGCCGTGCGTGAGGAACATGTCGCAAAAAGCATCAAAAAGCCAGACCACAGAGGAAGGAGATCCCGATTCGTGCCAATCCTGCCGGATGCCACTATATAGATCTATGTAGGAATGAAAGCACCTATGCACCAGCGAAGAAGCAAGTTCATCAATCATATTGGCAGAACAAATATGGAATGTGGAAGAGGGCAGCCTGGAGTTGCCGAAAAAAACGAAAGAGACGAAATCTATCGAAACCTATCGAAATCTCTTCTTTTGCTTGGAAGTGGCCTTTTAAAGTGATACAGTGGATCCATGAATCCGTTGGGAACACGACCAGCCTTTCGATGGCCAAGGATGGCAGCCCACCTGGGCCCAACGACTTCTTCAAGCTACCACGGTCCGCGAGGCTCGGTGACGGGAGGGTCCCTTGGAATGGTTCAACCAGGTTCAACCCCTCCAAATTCACTGGTTTTTGATAGTTCTAAACCGCATTTCGGAAGTGGTTTCTCTCCACCACTTGGTGTTCGCTGCTGTAGTTGACAGCCCAGCGCATTCCAAACGCCAACTCTTTGGAAGGAGCATTTCCAAAAGTACAAATCATCCAAATGCGGAAAACCCGTTGTTTGATTCCGATGAATGAAAACCGAGCACCGCCGCCTTTGGCCCCACGCGGAAGACGGTGCTCGGCCGCGTTTCGACCCCAGGTCGACCCTCGACATGTCCACCATGAACGGTCACGACAAGGCGACCGGTGCTTCAGGTCTCCAGTGGAGGTCTGGTGGTGTTTTGAGGGGCCAACCTTCTCGAAGGCCCTCAGCTGGGGTCTCCACTCCCAGAATCTCTAAAAGGCACCGAGTCACTGCAGCAAATCAATCGAATCAGAACAATGGATTCGAATTTACAGACTGGAGACAGATGGGTTCAATGAGTTTCTGCTGAACACAGATGTGGAGGTTGCGCTAGACCGCTAGACACTGACCATTTCTTGCTTGGGGAAGTCAAGCCAAACACCTGCACGAACAATCAGGTTGTGATTTGTGGGGCCATCATTTGGCAGCTGGTCCCACATGGTACATCATGGCACCCTTTCAACAGAGCGGGGATACGGGACACGTGCACAAATCACCATCATTCAAGCCTCCGTAATATGGATGTGCTTTCGAAAAATCACATCGTCGCCCGGGTTTATTAGCGGGCGTATGGTTCGCATCCTGAATCAGTCTTCCAGACTGGCTTGGGACAGTCAGGATTGGACGTATTATACCTCAACTGAGAGAAATCTGTGCGTCCTCCAAGCTGCTAAAGTCAATAAGTGCCGAAAGGCCTTGGCCGTTCAAAAAAGTTTAGAGTAGAAGTAGAAGTATAAATAATCGTAGGCAGGTCTGTGCTGGGCTAGTGTTGGGCTGTGCTGCTGGATGAAAGTCCTGCGCCCTCGACACCCCAGTTCTTGCCATGTGCAATGGATGTGATTCTTGCCTCAGCTGATTTTGATAGTCTAGGGCTTAGTCATGTTTAATCCATCAATCAGCAGAGGTCCAACTTCTGCACGCGCTAGTGGGCAGGCTTCAGAATGATCACCTGCTACAGCATCGGGGTATTAGGTGATTCGGGGTTGGTCAAGATTCGAGTTGGTTTGGAGTTCTGTTTGCATGCGCTGTATGTCAACACTGCAAGAGGCCCAGCCCGACCAGCGACCAGCCCTGTGGTTTTCACCCAGTCATCTTCCGATGGCTCCGACGGTGAGCGCAACAAGCTCCGAAAACAGCGTTGACTCGGAAACAGTTCACCTCATTGCACTGGCAGACCTCGTGGTCTCCCCCAAGGAGCCTGTTTCTGATTGCGCGGAGATTCCTGAAGCTCAAAGGAATACGGGCGATATGGGTGTGATTTTGATAGGGAGACACCCTGGCCCTGGCTGGGTAGACTGGTCTATGACTGGTCCTGGATCCTTTCTCCGTTGTTGCCTGGGAGATCTCCCTATCTAAATGCACACCATTACATACTAATTCATATACCAACTCGATATATTTCAATATTATTCAAAAATATCTATGTGTAGTCTATGAGTCTATATGGGCTATGGGCTCGCCATCCCAGTGACTCAGTGGCGCTGCGGGCCGGGCCGCCCGGTGAGCGGGCGCCGCCGATCTCACGGCCCGCGGCCGCGGCTACTCGGACGGACGATGCCTTCCGAGGGACGGAGACGCCTTGGAGAGGCCGATTTGGACTCATTTGACATGATGAAATCCTTCCGTCACTGAAACTTGACTACCACAGGAAGATGGAGGAAGTCGGGGTGCCCATGTTCCACTCACTGGGACGAGCCACACCACCCCGCCGAACGTGACTCCTGGCGCATATTCATATTTAGAGAGCCACTTCGGTTCCCATGAACATGTGCGCGACGCCGCTCATGCCGATCCAACTCGGCTCGAGTTTGGCGCAGGTTTTGCACTTCCATCACGATGGTTAAGAGTTGTTATGACTGTGTTCGATAAAGGGTACTACATGGTACTTGCACATCATACTTTTCTGCTTGCAACTTATATCATCCCAGCTTCCTTGCTGCGGTCTATCATTTGAGTTTGACCAATGACCTGTAGAGAGATTAGTTGGACATTCTCGTTTGATTTGCGGCAAGCACAGTGCAGATTCCGAGCCCCTCACCCAATCATTTGTCCTTGTTTCCTTTTGTTTTGGATTAGAGGGTCCATGTTTACGATCAAGTGGACCCGAAAGCCCGCCATATATATATATATATATCATGTCCCATGGTGGCCCATGGAGTGTTTGGCTATAGCCCCTTTCTTGGAGGGGAACGGCCAGATGATCTTCCCGCGCACATGGATGGCTCGCTGCGTGCTCACCTTCGCGCACCTTCAGGCTCGGAGCGCGTGATGCTACACCGGTGCTACAGCTGCGTGTAAGAAATGGAAGCTCAAGACACTACAAAGTCATCACAACTTTGTGACAGTCATCACAATTGGTCTTATGTCCATTTTTGTTTGTCGCAGTGCTGGCTTCATGTGGCGGTTGTGGCACTGCAGGGCTGATTGGTGGGCGGCAAGAGTCAAGGGTGCCCTCTTTCTTTTTTGGGTTGTGTTACATGAGAGAAGGCGTCAAAACCATCCTCCACGGCAGAATTCCTTCTGAGATCTTGATCTTATAGTCAATGACATATGATGAAATATGCTCATGTGCACTCCGTGTCAATGACCATCGAAACAGGGTATCCACTGTCGGTATCCATTGGATCGTGTCGTTGAAAGCCAAACAGTACACCGACCGTCCAGCTTTTGTGTGATGCTTGGACTATCTTAGAATCTTTGACTCCACCGATGGCCTTCAGTCAGGCCACAGCTTCAGCAAGAGATGCGGTCAGAAGGCCAACTCGGAGCCCGGCACTGGGTGGTGGAGCCGGCATCCAAGAACGTCCTCGTAAATATTGGGATGTAACGATTCTATACGATTCTTGTTTTTCGCGATCGCAGATTCGCAGATTCAATGCATTTTGATCAAACAGTCTTTAGATTCTTTAGATAGAGGACTACTCTAGTGAGACCCCCAAATGGCCCAAGAAACAGTTATTATTGGTTACTGCATTATGGACATTGCTACTCAGCAACCACCTGCTACAGTGAGTCCTGTTTTAGTCCCTTTGGCACACTGATGAGAACTGATGATTTTTGGCTCACTGCTTGGGCCCGCGTAGAACAAGACTGAATGCTCACATCCACCTTTGCTCCGTCCTCCTTGCTCAGCATCCCTTGAAGCTTTTGGTGCATGAGGCCATGGTTGCAAGATTCGTGATTGCCGTGTTTGCCACCTTGCTGGTCGTAGCGACCACAAGCCGTGACGATGTGGCAATGCTACAGCAGTCTCGCAAAGCCGCTTTAATGTGAACACTTTTAACCGATTTGTGGTGCCTTTTTTTTTTCTGGTTTCTACGTGCTACGTGCTAGACCTAGTAGGCCCTTAGGCCCCTTTTTTTCCCATACGGTGATAGATAGGGGGGTGGTAATTTTAAGCATGGTTTTGTACCTCTGAGGACATCGAGCCAAGTGGGCTTCAAACGACTCAAGCCGATTCCTTGGAGGACATGGCTTTGGGCCCACTGATGCTCAAAGTGAAGGAGGAGTGCCTTTCATCCACTCAGCAATGCTTGCCTGCTTTGATTGAAGCCCGGCATAGAGTTTGGCCCTATGTGCAAGCTGAGCTCGGCAAGGAAATCAAGCCATATGAGCCTAGCTCATTCAGTGCGGACTTCGCCAGCGCCTGGCTGAAGGATGAGGTTTGCCATGGGAAGACCTTCTTTCTGCTGCATGTTTGGAAAGCAGTCGGCTGGGGAGGCATTGAGAACCTCCAACAATTGATGGGTGGCAATGTGGAGCGACATAATCTAGGGGGCGACCTTCATCCATATGACTGCCAGAATGTGTCCCATCCCTCCACCTTCACCTTTGTGCGCGATCCGCTCACACGCTTCATCTCAGGATATGCCCAGCTAGAGCAACTTCGAGAACAGCAGATTGACTTGTTTGCAGGTTGATGTGTTTGCACTCTCTTTCAATTGTTGGCATGCACACAACACAGCCCAGCTTGTTAAATCTTGGATTCCACAAGTCCGATTCAAACGCTTTCTCGCTTTTTGCTGCGCAGCCAAGGTACTACCATCAGGATGCCATAGACCATCGAAAGAACTTCCCGCCCAAT